TGTTGATCAGATTCTTGGCCACAGTTACTTTAGTGGTAAATGGGTGAGCTGAATAGTAGTCTAGGTATCTATCCGAATTTGTCAGCTTTCTGAAAATGTTTATTTTAAATCTGCCGTCTAATTTTCTTTTTACGAAACAGACCAGAAATGCCAACTCATTCTCATCGGATTCAACCTGTTTGGAGATCTTGATAGTTTCTGACATATTGTTTATTAAGTTAGAAAGTGCATTTAACAAACTACGTTTGATTATGACGAAGGTGTCATCTACGTATCTTAACCACATCTTTAGGGGACTAGGGCATCTCATAACTGCATTTGTTTCTAATGTGTACATAAACAGATTGGCGACTAGCAGAGATACTGGTGATCCCGTAGCAATACCTCCTGTTTGACTGTAAAGAACACCTCTAAATGTAAATAACGTGGATCGAAGATACAATTCTAATACCTTCGTAATTTCGTCTGGATTTAAAGGACAATGACCACTGAGTTTGTCGTCAGAACAAGTTAAGTTATAAATAATACTTAGAGAATCACTAACGGGAACATTCGTGAATAATGAATAAACATCGAAACTTGTCATTACTTCATCTTCTTCAATTTGAGTCAAGCTTATTTTTCTCTTAAATTCATATGAAGTCTTCACTCCATGCTCCACTTTCACTTCATATGGGCTAAGTATTCGATAAATGTATTTAGAGAGTTTTTATGTCGTAGAATTAGTAAAATCCACTACTGGACGTAACGGAACTTCTGATTTGTGTATTTTTATTTTATTTTACTATTTTATCTACAGGGGCTGCAACGTTTCGGAACCAGAGTAAACCAAAGTGACACACCGAGCTTGTTAATTGGACGTCCAGAAAAGATACTTTTTGTGTCGGATTCCTTCTCTAGTGTGAACTTAATTGCTCGAGAGCAGCTATTGAAGAAGTCCACGGTGTAATCCGAATTCCCGGCATTGTTGGAGATAATCAAATTGCCGTTCACAGATCTCTTGTCGAATCCAAAGTTGTCAGTTCTTCACTTTAGATGCGTATTTTCAAGTTTCGAAATGAAAAATTCTGCGAGCAACGGACCAATTGATGAGCACATAGCTATAACATCATTTTGTCGATATATTTCGTTACTGAAAGAGAACTGGACGTTTAAAGTGCATCTCAATAGGAGTTCCTTCAAATATTCAGTGCGTATACCAATGTTCATCTCCTTTGAGTCACTATTTTCACATTTACAGCCTATTCTTGCGTTTATTGGGACGTTTCTAAACAGTGATACCACATCTAGTGAGAACATGGTTTGAATGGAAACATTGACGTCTTCAATGGAGTTGACAAAGTCGAAAGAATCTCGGAGTGAGTGGCAGGAAATTCGCCTTCTGACTGGTTGTAGTAGGTCTTCTAGCCATTGTGCAGGGAGATGATCAGGTGAATCGTTCATACTGAGAATGCGCCAAAGAGTTATGTCTTCGCTGTGCACTTTTGGTAATCCATAAATTCAGAGTAAATTTAAGGTATCTAACAACGAAGCATTTAAGTCTACTAAACAATGTGATTATTCAACATTAAGTCAATGAATGTTGTTCTGGCTCCAATGAAGACGTTAAGTCGAATTTATTTCATGTAGTTGAACATGTATATCTTGCCGCCAATTAAGTGACTAGTCCTAGTGTGAATGACATGTCATTCCAATTTCCACAAAACTGTGAGGTCCTCCACGCTTCTGATACTTATTCAACTCAAAAATTACGATCAAATACGCATGTAGCATCTAACAGCTGTGCACGAAAAGCAATGATAAGAAGTAACGGAGCTAGGTATATACTTTTGTGAAGGAATCAGCGTCGAGGTTAATAAAGTCAGAATACGCCCTGAACAAATTCTAACAAATATGACACCATCATCAAATCGCCTGTAACATTAAACTATATTTGCAAACTCATTCATGTGAAGGTCATTTATGAAACAGTTTGTGGAAGGAAATGGAACCAAAATAACTGATATTGGGAATTCCCCACGTTTATTTACTCAATAATCATGAAAGACTGGCATAGTTGGCACAAAATTGGCTCAGTATATTCTTTGTTGGGGATTTTGAATCGAGTCTCTGCTGTGAGTAGAATAGGTCAGAAAATGTTAGAAATAGTCCCAGCAACTCGAGTGATATTATGTAAATTTTAAACGCAGTGGAATTTATTGATTTATCGTGAGAATATTTTAACCACACTGCAGAATAGAATATCATCTGTAAATATGAGCATTAACAAAAAATATTTGAGGTTAGTTTCATAAACGTTTGGGCTGATTAAATTCAATACATATGAAAAGGTGGATAACGAATAATACATATGCAGATGACATTTCCTTAGTGATTGATTTTTCACACGACTCTGTGAACCTCCTGATTAGACGAAATACTCCTAACTACTTGTTCTGACGTCGTGTGATGTAATAAATTAACTGTGTGTATTTGTAATTCAACATCTCAACTCCAACTGGATACCAGAAGATTGAAGCTTCAGACTCTGAACCACTCTGATACTATTCAATCATTTGATGCCTGCCTAGAACAAAATATCTACTTAAGAGTTCATGTAGCACCACTATAGACGTTTTATCAGTCCCTCAAATTACAATGAATTTAACTTCCTGAGTATTTGACGTGTAGAACAAGGTATGTTCACGGTGTTTACAATCCGAAAATATCACCGAACATTTACCGTCACAGTTTCAAAGAGAAGGAAATCTCCGCCCCTCCCTCAATCGTAACTGTATTCTTGATCATACAATCGATCCCAGACATTGTTTAAATGCCAAATGCAACTCCAGAGTCACTTGAATGAGTATGCAAGAATCTTGCTAAAGATGTAGCAATCAAACTTTCCCTGGATTGCAGAAGCTATATCAATCTAGGTTGTGCAATTCGCATGCAGAAGAAATTTGTTCAGTCACACAACTGAGAGTGGAACTGATTTCTCGAAGTTTTCAACAAGTGGTACTCTAAAAATAATTTATATTTTTTCTCCACTAACATTATCACAACTCCACTCCCTATGACAAGGATCTTTCAATGACCTCCATTCAATTTTAACTGAACTCTACTCAACACTATCATTTATGATATATATATATATGTGATAATGAGAACTAACAATGGACATAAGCACATGACTAACACAGAACAACATAACCACTGTAAAACAATTTTCATTGGGACTCACAATAGCTATTCCAATGCCAATAAACACGCCATATAATATGAGGAATGGAGACTGAAAGAATAAAATGAACAGTATGGAGAGCAGTTTTAAAGGTAGTATACGGTATGTTTTATAGAAAAAACGGTTATATATGAACTTTGCTAGAAGATTGTATTCGTCATGAGATTCTTCATAATAAACGAGCTATCGGAAAAGCCACATCTTTCATCTATGTGGTTTCATCTGGAGATGACATTAGTGATGAGAAACTATTTTCGTCAAGTTTTCTTTTAATAGAGACACCCAGTTCGTGCACATTATCACAGATTATAACAAAAAGAGGAAGTAAATTGCAATTTTGATGAGAGATGATGCCTTCCTCTAGATGGATAACTCGCATCTACTCTACAGTAGTTTGAGGCTGATGGGAATATCGTCAGCTGGATGTTAGAAGGACATTTCAACTTGCGATGCCATCACGAAAACGCCAAATGACAAGCAGATCGTTCTCTCGTGCAGTGACCTTCAAGCGAGAGGAGTAGGGTTGCATACTAATTGTCATACACTGCAACAATGATGAACATTGAGTTGATTAACAAACTGGATGAGCGAATTAATGTGATTTCTTTTCATTTGTCATGCAGTCAGTATTATTCTATCACTTTTCATAACGAGACCAGCAGCCACACAACAACTTTCCTCATGTGGAATATTCAGACAAATCAAAGTACAGTATTACATAGAATAATGAGAACTGAGAGTGAAATAAACACTTCTAATGCAACACTTACACCGAATAATTGATGATGAAGGAGGAACATGATTCCGATGATAATGAATATCATACTGATTAGGATGAAGAAGCAATATCCAACATCTGCTAGAGGTTTTGATTTGAAGCCGATAAGCGTTGCTGACAATCCTATAACAGCTGTCAAACCCAACGCAATCAAGATGTATACCCAGCATAATTCACGGCAGTATAAAACAACGACTACAATCCATAGGATGATCTGCAAAGGGAGATCAGAAGCGAATGAATTCACGGAAAAGAATAAATTTATTATGAGTAGACATTTACAAGCATTCAACACTTGTGGTTTGTGTGTTTACATCACATCGATCTCAGTCATTCATAACACAGTATTTCATTACCAACCACATTCTCGAATTTATCGTCCATTTTTGACTTTATGAAATAAAACAGCAGTTATCACCCATATTGCATTTTATGAAGCATAATGACTATTTATGGTCAATGAGCATTGATTTCAAATACACACTGACATTGATTTGTGGTCGTCACTATCATTTGGTCCGCTGTAAAATCACAAGTGATGTTGCATTTTATAAATAACCACACAGCAATATACCAGTTCACCAGTGATACTGAGAGATGTTCAGATTGAATATTTAGTGACTGTAAACAATGTTAAGTAGATTTCTCGACTGGTTTCATTTCAATTTTATTTACGTGTAATCCATGCAGTTGTATCCTTTTTAGACAGTGTTGACTTCGAAATTTGAAGACGCTCTGACTTCACCATTGTCAGTCTAGTCTTTTTACCTGATCATTTTCCAGCGGTGCCCCCTAAGGTCGGTCATTTCTCTATCTGCCAAGTCATTTATATACGACAATGATAGAAAGTTCAGACGATAGTCGTGGAAACTGTAAAAATGTTTGGATTGCACTGATCATGATTTCACTACTTCATGTGATGCAATATTTTAGTCTACTACTTCAAGTGAATTCATGTATAGTGAGAAGTGAGAACTATTTGGTAAATTCAGAACTCACCGCGAATGATACTGTGATCACATTAAGAGGAAAGAGTGTTCGAAACCTTCGAATAAATGCCAAGAATATGTGCAAGACAAAACCAATGCAGCTGAAACAGACAATCAACAGTTAATATCAATGTATTCACCAACATCAACAATTAATCCTGACAGAATTCACTATTATTAAGCTTTCGAATAATCGATTAATTGACACCGTCAGTGTGACTTAGTCCAAACTATGACGGTTTCCAAAATGTCAGTAAGACAACTCGACAATGGAAAATAATCAGGTACTCTGTCAAATTGTGTCATATTCAAAGCTTTACATGAAATAACAAATGAGCACACATAATCAACAGCTTGATGAACGACTTCAGCATGTAACCTCTTAGTATTTGCTTCAGCCCATAATCCCAGATGTAGTGAAATTCTCAATTGTGTCTAATATGCAATATTCTACAAATACACTGGATGGAATAAGAATCTTCCAAATATGAAATTAATTACACCTACAGATATTAGATGGTTGGAGGCCATCCTCAGATAGACTTGGATGTAGGTTTCGTGCTAGTTCAAAGCCTGACTAATAGAATTCAGTCTGCATCATAGAAGGGACTAGACAGATTACACTAGTTACCAATGTCCAATCAAAGTACACCTACAGATCTCCTTTTGGAAAATGAAAAATTCAAAGAATGTGTCTCCACACTTTGAAAAGACGGATCAATCATGTAACATCAGATAAACGGTTAAATGAATAAGTCTGTGAAGTCTAGTAAAATCTATGGAAGGTAAATCTTCTCAGAATCTGTTAAAATCATCCAATCAACTTGTCTGTCACTTCAGCAGACTTGAATATGAAGACTGCAATGTTAGCACAGTGTGATGTCATCTGCACCAATTTAAGACTCATAACTTCTAATACTATTTCACATGACGTTTACTTTCTAGCTTATTCCTCATCTTTTATAAATTGTTTACCTTAATATTAAGTCAAGGAATAAATGTGGAATCTAAGACTCACCCGCATACAAACGCTGTAATCCAGAGTACTGTTGGCAGCTGTTTTTTATCACGTTGGCTATTGGTGAAAGGAAAATTGATGGAGGAAAATATTATCTCACTTTCCAGGGTACATCAAATCAGAGGACATGAACCAAGTCATTTGATAACACTGTTCGACTGCTTCGTTAGTCTGAAAATGAATGAATGAATGCATGAATATATTCGACGTTTTAATGACATGAGGAACATCTGCAGATGAAATACATGATACGAAAACATTTTATGCAACCCGAAGCGCCCTACCGATAATCATAACGAAACTTTGATTGAAACATTAAACCGAAATATCACTGTGAGTAACGGATTTATGCATATGTGCATGTCAAACAAACAGAGTTCATTACTTGGTCTTTAAATTCACCTTCTACTGAGAAATAAAAATATTAGAGTAATGTTTATGTGGCCAGTATCTCCTAATAGTTTCAATTCATTGTTTATCTGACTGTAATTCATGCCTCAGTTCACATTTAGCATAATGTTAAAGCAGATACACAAGTTTCTAAAATCCACTGATATTCTCAATCAGTATAATCTCGTGACAATGTAAGTATACGGTAAGCTCATAAACTCACAGACTTCTGTCTCAATATCTTATTGATGTTTTCAAAAATGGTGTTTTTATATGATTATTAACGAGCCACTTCACTTAACTGACTTCTAACTCTGAGGAAACACTAGAGAATGATCTTTGTTTTATTTGCGTTTTCATCGAGAAATTTAATTGTAAGAGTGAATCACTGCTCGTATCGATCATCCAACCATTATTCTGTTGTGTGTGTACAAAAGCACAAAGTGCAATTTAATATGCTTAGAAAATCATTTGGTTCTCACAGGTTGTTTCGTTTTCCTGAGGTTTGCCATCACATCTATCTATGTCAAACTGTTTTCACAAGACGGTATAATGGCAAAAGAGGACAGTTGTCATTCCCACAGTTAACAGCACTAATCCAATCCATCAAACATCTGTTGATCCTTCAATATTTGTGTTCAGTTCTTCAACAATCTCTTTATATGATTTACAATTTGAAGCTAGGACCATGGATACAAACCTTTGTGATTTCAATCTGAGTGTCAACAATTTTCATACTCACGTGGGATTTGTTAAGGTAATCAGTCATACGAGTGATTAAAATATTCAGTTGTAATTGTTGATGTCAGTAGCCTTATACCACTAGGCAAAACATTATGCGTGCTGGAATAATTCTTGAACCATCTAATTACAATATGCACACTCATTTGGATGTTTCAAACAACTTTGTAAATATCATTCGTTTCCATCCTAAAAGTTGTTTAAAGTAATGCAGTCTATTTTATTTTCTAATATTTGCATATCATATATCGTCTTGATCCTTATATAAAGCTTAGTTCTTGTTTAATCCCTCTTTTGAATGCGTCTCTTTGAGGTCATTTTGATCTTGGACTACTTGCAGGAATTGTTGGTGTGTGATTCTTGTGAGTGTTCCTACCACAATGTCCACGTTCTGACTAGCATCGTTATTTACCTCTAATTTTGTCAATCTAAAACTAACTAACTTTTGTGACTTAATGTGTTACTTTGTAACCAGAAAGAGTGGAAAGCCACTCCAAAGCAAGGAGTTTCACAGCTGTTTATATTCTGCCCTCTGAATGTGAGCAGAATAATAATAATATTTTCCAGTCTCATGAACAGTCCTTTAAGCTTGTGCAATTCTATATAGAATCTAAAAGATGTCGATTTTACTATTTTATCCTTGGAATGCTTCAACCAGTCAGAAGTATAATCATACATCTACAATTGTCATCAGACAGATTATAAGGATTTGAAATGGATATGAGGAAACGTAGACATTAGATCTGTGTCAATAGATAAAATTTCATCGCATATCTGAATGGTGAGGACTAAGTAATCCGAGTGGAATTTGTTGATGACCGGTTTCTCATGATAATCTAGGAAACCTGAGACTAAGTGAAATATCAGAACTTAACATCATCTGATGTGCCTCAGTGATATACCTAATTTCATGAAAATACTCCACGTTCTTTTACATGGCTGGTTGTTTTCCCATCAACCCACTTATGACACTGGTATCCTGTAGATACGAAACAGTAAAGGTTTCCACCTCAGCGGTCTTTCTTCTCTTCTTGAATTCTCGAGTCGCGTTTGTTGTCGTTGTAGTTGCTAATAGTGGTTAGAGAAATAGGCTCACACATTGGCTATTTGGGGAATTCGCAAGTGCAACTAAAGGTGTATTAGTAGTCATATTGCGCTTTACAAAGTTTCTAGATATATTAGCCTATAAACGAATATGAAGAAATAAAATCGGGTGTAAATCCTCACTTCAGAATAATTACTTACACTGTATATTTGAAATAAAATGCAAAAGATACTACCGCAGATGAGAAGTGCCATAAATATTCCGAAGAACAAGTCATCTGCCTTCCCTATCAATGGTCTCGATCTGAATACGCGAAACACAGCTAGTGCACCCTTGATAGCCGTTAAAGCGAACGAAATAAAGCTGTATAATACACCGATTTGATAACACAGTATACAAACAACGACAGTTCATGAAATGATCTAGATGACGAAATGAAAACATACAACCAATGAGTCTTACGAAATAAAGTTAGATTATCACTTTCTGTTTACGAACATTCAAGTGGTATGGCTACTGTGGTCAGTCACTTCATGATATTACATTACTGACACTATTTCTCAAATTATCGCTTATTTACGGGCAAATGAGACTGACCAGTAGTCGTTTCAATTTTATTGAATGAAGGGATTACAGTGATGTTAATCCTCAAACCATTGAGCAGCCGTGTAATCTGCAACGTACATGAATTCCCAGTTATGGTTATCTGTCTGTTTCGTATTGAAACTATAATGTTTGCTAAAGTATCAGGTCCCTGTTTTCCTGATCAGATATTCATGTTTATGGTTAAATTTCTACACTGTGTTTCATTTCAAAGAATAACCTGGTGTGAACATTATTCGCAGGGTGTTTGGCATTATTTATCGTTGATTCGTGATCAGCTCAGTTTTGTACACCAGGTTTATTCGTTAAAATCGATGCCAACCTACAACAGTCAAGATGATTTCACCTAATACAGTCAGTTTCCTCTTTTTAACTCATGAGTTCCTCGACGTTAACCACTCAGTACAAGCGTACAAAAATGTTTGAATAACAATGCCAAGTCTGTCAGACATTGAAGGATTAGCAAAATACACACTGAAAACTTTATTTGCACCTTCTTTCATTCGCACACTGATGAGCTGATTCTCTCTGAATAGTTCACTGTAAACAAAAAACGAGTGTCGAATCTCTCTATTTTAGCCTCATCCACCCATCACCTATTTGACGCTTTCTAAATATTAAAATTTCTCATTTAACAGTAAAAATTACAACTTCCTATCCATTTTCAACTCAGTATCGTTGGTGAGATAATTTTGGAAAACACAGATTCATTTGATAATTGCCAAGAACCATGTAGTTCATTCTGGTTTACATAAGAATTATTCAATCAGCAAAATTACTAGGAAAGAAACACTTCACTTAATTCACAGCTTACTGCTGATATCATCATAATGATATAAATTCGGCACTTCAATCGTAATCTCACAGTAATTATTATGCACATGTTCATAACGAAACCAAAGATTTTGAAATAGCTCATAAAATGCTCATCATTGTAATCAACAACATCAAACACAAGTCTATTTTGTGGGAAGACTGAAAAGCCTGACAAAATTCCCTGTTATTTGTCTTATTAAACAAACTGATTCACATAATTTCACTCTACATAATGAAGACTCAGGCGAATTTCACAGAATACATTGTACATTTAGTTACTAAATATCGAAATCACAGATTGGATAAGTAACATTAGCAACCCAATCAAGTATCAATGATCTCACAGTCAATAAAACAATACAATCAATGCTCATTTCACTGCAGAGGATTCAAATTCGGTGGACGAAACCCGATTAGGGTTAATATTCATCTGAGTTATTTTCAAACTGACGATCTTTCTATTTTATTCACAGTGGAACTGCTTTTTACCTTTCACTTTTTCTAATGATGCTAGACATTTTCATCATTTTTCATAAACAGAGGGAAATACATATGCCAGCACTTACCCACATACAATCTCCGAAATCCAGACAAATAATGCCATTTTGCTCCTACCTGTTTGCGGAATGTGAATAAAGGGAAATATAGTCTTACATTTCGACAGTCGTCAGGTCGGATGTAATGAACCACATCATCAGGGAACAGTTCGTTTCTGTGTTGTTGGTATGAAAATGAACAGCGTAATTATTTTTCATTGCTATACACCACAAAGAATATCTGCATGCGCGACGCCATGCAATATACAACACGACGAAGTCTACTGATTATCACAACAAACGTTTGACAGAAACGTGGCTCTGAATAACAAACTTATGCGCATTTACGTGTCGTACAGGCGGGACTCATTATCCGGTCTCGAAATGACACTTCAGATATGAAATACAACTATTAGTAAATGCCTCACGATGACAATAGTGTCCTAATTTCGCATCGCGCACCAGATAATCGCTTTAGTGGACGTCCGATGGTGACACAGCAGAGAGAATGTGAGGGGTTTACTGGCGATCGTGGGGCTAACTGAAGAGAACTGAAGAAAACAGGATGACATGGAGATGTGCTATTGAAGTCCTTTGTCCAACTCGGATCACAAGGTAATAAACATAATAATATGACAATTATTGTCTGAATGTAATACAAGATAATACTCACGATTCCTATAATGTGACACAATACACTCACGAACTCAAATCTATGATATTCACATATATCGATCACCTACATCGATCGGCGCATGACACAAGCTCATAAACTCACAGTCTTCTATTCCAATATTTTGTTGATAATTTCAAAAATCGGGTATTTATATTATTGTTAGTGGACCACTTTAATATACTCTTTCCCAACACTGCATCAGATACTCTATAACAACCTGTGTCTAAGTATATTTCTGCTGCAAAATATT